ATCTTTCATGACTGGTTGTGCATCGACCCCTCCTTCCCTCTAGGGGCCCCGTCCGATTTCCCAGACCCCTTTCCACTGTGCCCCCTTTCCCTAGCCAAAACGGTACTCTAGCCCCTGTCCCAGGCCTTAACTACGAACCCGGTCCCCCAACAGAGACAAACATCAGTTCGGTCCCTGGTTTCCCCTGGGGAGGGTACAGCTGCACCGTACTCCCTAGTCGCACCCTTATGATGGCCAGGGGGGTTCACTGGTGCCCCCCTGTCAGGCAGAGCCAGACACATGCCATTTAGACTATGGCTATGGGACGCTGGACCTGATTTCCGACACTTTTACTTTCTCAGCAGTAGATTCAGGAAGGTCTATGCTTTTGCTAGCTGAAGCTGGGTAATGACCCCACTATCCCAACTTTTCTTCTATTCATTTCCATATGGGATGCTGGGCCCGTTTCCCAGCACGTGCTGCTGCAAACGAATAGATCGGAGCATTTTTCAAAAAAATAAATAAATAGTAAAGTATGAATCGCATGGCTCTGCGGGTACTGAGAGACATCTGAGCCATGGTGCCAAGTTCTGGTCAAGAAGCCCTTCGGGTTTTCTTATAAATGACATGACAAATCACTGAAAATTCAGGCCTCGGTTAAACATCTCTCTCTTTTCTGACGGTGAGGACACCTTGGAGCTACAGTTGGGATGGAACAAGAAAAATGCACGTTACTTTCTGGTCCCAGACGACCAGCCCAACTCTCCTCCTGGAACACTGAACAAGTGTCACAACTGTAGTGCACTGCCCAATTTGTAGATGGTCTCACGCAGGCAGTAGTATGGATTCTGTACGTCTGGGCCTAAGCCCTCCTCTGTGCACGCACAGATTCGAACCGGCGACCTCGGCCTCAAGAGCCAAGTCTCTTAACCATTACAGCCAGGACACGGTGTTCAAAAGTGGAATCGTGCCGGTCGTGATATCCACCCCACCCCTGCAAGGCTGTAGTGTCCAATGCAACACACACCACACACAACACCCACGGACGCTCTGTAGTCAGCACGTAACCCCCGCTGGTACTCTTACCCGCTCGCACAGACGGGGCTTAGCAATGCCCGCGGTTCACGGGCGCTTCCACAATAGTATGGATTCCGTACGTCTGGGCCTAAGCCCTCCTCTGTGCACGCACAGATTCGAACCGGCGACCTCGGCCTCAAGAGCCAAGTCTCTTAACCGCTACAGCCAGGACACGGTGTTCAAAAGTGGAATCGAACCAGTCATGATATCCACCCCACCCCTGCAAGGCTGTTGTGTCCAACTCAACACACACCACACACAACACCCACATACATGACAATTCTCGTACACTTCGCTCTGTAGTCAGCACGTAACCCCCGCTGGTACTCTTACCCGCTCACACAGACGGGACTTATCAATGCCCGCGGTTCACGGGCGCTTCCACAGTAGTATGGATTCCGTACGTCTGGCCTAAGCCCTCCTCTGTGCACGCACAGATTCGAAGGCCATGCGAGATGCGCAGAAGCCCCCCTCCCAAAAGAACGAGCCCATGACCGCAGAAACCAATGAAGTGCAGGTGGAGGTCTCGTCATACAAACTAGAAGGCTGCATGGCACCAAAAACCATGGTCTGGGTCAGCCATGGATGAATTCTTGAAGAAGAAGGAACCGGTGTCACCGAAGTTGGCGGCGGCCAAAGAAGCGGGTTACACAATGGTACGGATGCTGCACGCAGTTGGAGATACCCCCAAAGGACCATCTTACCGGACAACCGTCTTCACCCGAATAGAACGTGCGGTCATTATCGCTGTATCGAGACTGAAAATTGCCTGAAATACAGCTATAATAACCGGTCGTCATCATCACATCTAGAATCAAATTTGCCTGAAATACAGCTATAATGACCGTACCTCTATTCGGGGAGTAAGACGGTAATGTGCCACTGCACCTGAAGACTTAACTGGTCTTCCATGCTTCTAAGCTCATGCTGTACAGTGTACATGCTGTCCAAGCTGGCCTGGAGGAAGACCACATCTCACCTGACTAACTTGGCACTGGGTTAAAAAAAAAAAAAAAAAAAAAAAAAAAACACTTGGCACTGCATCGAAAAAGAAAAGAGGAGTAAGGACTCTTCTTTTTTCTTTTCTTTGTTTAAAGTTTTAAACAGGCGAATTCTTTTAAGCCGCAAGCAGGCTAGCTCAGTTGGTTGAGCACGCCAGTGACACTCAGGAGGTCGCAGGTTCGTTACCCGACGTCGTCCTTTCTTTCCCCCGCGAACTCATGGGGATATACTTTGGGTTCACCAGCGCAGATTGTTGGCTTGGGCCTCCTGGCTGGTTGTGGAAGTAAGTGGTTCTTTCCAGCCCGCGCCGGGTGTTAGGAGCTTGGGTGCTGCTCCCCGTACAGAGCAGAGATAGGTAGGTCACTGTAGACCCATAACCTTTTTTTTTTTTTTTTTTCCTTTTTTTTTTTGAAAAATCTGCCGATTATGCAGGCTGTTGAAAAAAGGGAGAAACCTCTTCGCCCTGTATCAGGCGCCAGATATCAACTGCTGAGGGGCTAGTCTCTTCCTCTCCCAACTACCTTTTACACAAGAAGATTTACCACTCAAACCCTTAAGCTCCCCACGTGTACCTCAGTCCTTCTGTCCCAGGCCCAACTACCTTTCACCCAAGACAATTTACCACCTCATTTAACTCCCTTAAACCTTAAAACCCTTTCCTACCTGAACCTCAGTCATTCTGTCCCGGGATAGCCCCCGTTCCTTCCCATCTTTTTCCCCCGTACCAGTCTATTCCTACTAGGCTAATGCAGGGGGGGGAAAGAAGTCCGGGAATTCATCACATGGTCGCATTGGGATTGAGCCATCTAGCTTGGTCCAGTTATGGAAGATGAGTCGGTGCTTGTTGCCCTGCATCCTCCCTTGTCCTCTTCCTTCTCCATTCCATTCCACCTTTCCTATCTTCCCCCCTAATTCCCCCCCAAGCCAGATTTTGCTGAATTCTTGTATCCTTTGCTTTATCTCACTTTGTGTGTGCAAGTGGCATATTTGTGCTTTGACTTCTTCCCGCCGTGTTGTTACGTTTGTATGGATTTGTTGCTGTATGTTTTCTGTAAATTCTGGTCCCTCCAGCCTCGCACCTTCCATCTCATGGGTGCAGCGCCGTCTCCACAGTGCCCATAGTATTGTTCTGCGTCTCGGTTTGAACAAATTGAAAGTGAAAATGTCAGGTTGTTCTGCAGGCCATATCTCAAACATCGGGGCTCTCCAATCCCATGGCCAGGGAGCTCCTGTTTCGAGCTGGCCCCAGACCCTTTCCCACCATCGCCAGAGCCAGACTGCTCGAGGGCATTGTAGAAAGATGTGTTCTATTGTTTCTGGTCTTTTTCTGGATGGGAATGCGTTGGTGCAGAATCTGCGCCACGGTAGGGCTAGCCCTCTCTGTTCGAGTGTTGACCTGTCTATCAGCCAGTTATTGGTTGGCGAGCACCGCTGTTCTACTTGCCATTGCAGGGAGGCGAAATTCGCTGGTTTCTTTTTAGTCAGTTGGAACTTTTCTCAGTGACTCCTTGCTTACATCCAGGTGTTTCATCCATCTTCTTTCCACCTGATCCCTCAGGTTAATTTTTGGACGAAACAGTCTGTATGTCGCTTTAACCATCTAGTACATACCCTGTTTCTGCTGGCTGTGGTGGTCCACACCCATTCCAACGGGTCCAAAGGCAGTTGGGTTATCGGGGTGTCCAGGAGGAATGCCGTCCATCTGTCTTTCACTCTAAGGACCCTGATTCTTGAGAGCTTGTCTTTCCTTAAAAACTGTATCTGCTTTGGATTGGTTCTTCGCATAACCTAAATTTAGTTGAGCTTGGGTTAGTGAATTTCTAAGCTTAGTCCCTGTTGCTTCCATTGGTAGGTGTAGTCGTCCATTGAACCGCTTAGGGAAGGTATTGCCTGTACGGGTAGCTAGAGAAAGGCCACGCTTCCATAAGGTAGGACCACGCTTGTGGCTCAAATTTACCAGCTTGTAATTGCTGACTCAATTTTGAGAACCAGTTGATCGTAAAAAAAAAAAAAGAAAGTGTCGCTCTTGGAGTCATATTACCAGGATTACCGCGGATGAGTTCGTAGCAGTATATTAAGAACGATTACTTAGGTTTTTATCACATACGAAGTTAAAAGAAAAAGAAAAAAGGATTACGTAGAGGGTTCGCACAGGAGAAAGCGTACAGACTGTCTGCAGGCAGCAGATCCAAGATGTGGGGACACCTAAGGATCCCAAGTTCGCATTTGGTTGGAATTCGGGATCGCTCGAAAGTGCGAACACTGGGGGCGACGGAGGGACCATAGTAGTGATTGATGCCATAAATCACAAATGGTAAGGCAACGTATAGATACGAGTAGTTAGAGCGAGGTAAGAGAGAAGAAAATAGGCCAGGCTTTTCTTTATGATCGATTTTTTTTTTTTTTTTCCAAACAGTTCCGTTTTTTGCATTTTCTACTTAGTATTAGGAAACTTATTTCCTCTGTGAAGCTGAGATTTTCAGCTGTGTTCAAGTTTCTTTGCAGACGTTTTGTGGTGATTTTTACAGACTCTGCTCAGGTCTGCTGAGCAGGACTTAGGGTCCTGCAAATGCATACAATGGAATTGAATAACAGGGGGACACTGTGTCCATTTCCCTCTCGGCGATTGCTCCTTGTCATAGAGTGACGGCATTGAGTGGTGGTAGAAGTGGTGGCCTTTGGGGCTGGTTCGGGTGCTTCACATTTCCTATGGTGGAGCTTCTTGTGTTGTCCTGCGAATGCATAGCATGGTATGCGTTTCCTTACAGATTTATCGTAAAGCGGAAAGCGAAAAAATGAAAAGAGGAAAACAACAACACACACACACACACACACACACACACACACACACACACACCCACACGCACAAGGTGAAAAGAAACAATTGCTAAGCTGAAATGTATGTGTGTGTGGGTGGGTGGTTTTGGGAGAGGTGTTGGCAGTTGCTTTTGCAGGCTTAGGCTCTCAAGCGTGGAGTGCGCACTGCTGGTCTTCAACGTATAAAAATGCAAATGCGATGCTGGCCTGGCGGCCGGGATCTGAGCTCGCAGAACGATGCCGGTCCTCCTTGACATCAAGAGGACTGCAGTGTGAAAGATGGGGATTGGGGCATGCGAAAATGAGGCGAAGCAAGATAACCATAGCTGCGCTGCACTCTACGACAGCAAGACCGATTGATGAGGAAGATGACGACTCATCTGCGACAGCAGTTGCTGAATTGATAGCAGGCACAGCGGCTCGCCCTGCGTCACTGTTTGCCTCTTTATTGGCTTGGGTGGATGCCTATGTTCGCTTCACGAGGCCTCACACGGTCATTGGGACGGTGGGTATCCCCTTGAAAGCCTCACATGCAGAGGGGTGTTTCAGAAGCACAAAGTGAGCACCCACCATGAAGGGCGTAAACCCTCCGCCTTTGGGACAAACGTACACACGATCATCATCAGAAACACAAAGTGGGTACCCCCTCCCCTGTTCACGAGGGCTCACCCTTACTGCTTTGTGCTTCTGACGACATGCATGTGTCCCCTACCTTGGTGCCTTGTTTGACTGTTTGTATGACGGCATTGAAAATACTCAGCATTGAAATTTGAAAATACTGCCAAATTCTCTACCACCTCATTGAAAGCCAGTGAGCTGTTTGGGATCCTGTATAAGCAGTAAGGTTTCCGTGCTTTCGATGAGGACGGTGGGTATCCCCTTGAAAGCCTCACATGCAGAAGGGTGTTTCAGAAGCACAAAGTGGGCACCCACCATGAAGGACGTAAACCATGGTAACCGCCCGGACGTCCGGACCGGGTTCCAGACAGTCCGGTGTCCGGTGTCTGGTGTCCGGTGTCCGGTGTCCGGTCCCCATGTCTGGATGGAGGCCCCTGGGGCGAAAAAAAAAAAAAAAAAAAGGGGCGGCCCAGGACGTTTGTCGGGTCCTAGCCGCCCCTCGAAAATTAACGGGGTGATTTTTGAGTGTCCTTTCACCCCACCGGAAATGGCCTAGAGGTCCAGACACAAGACACTGCAGGTTTTTGAGGTGGCGGGTTTCGCACAGGCCCGAGCAATTTCAAAGCGGCC